TAGTAATGATATGCTCTGCAGACTTTGAAGAAAACCTTTGTCTAGACAAAAGACATCTTAGGAAAGATTTCAAAATGTACAGTTTATTTGAAACCTCTGCTGACTTTGTTGCTTTTATGGCTGGAATTATCTGTATTTGGGAGATCTTTAGGGGCCAATATACTGTGCTTTCTCAGGGTTTTGGCATTTGAACTGCAAGAAACCAGATCAAATTGACAAAATGCAATCTACCGAAAGTTAGTCTTAACCTTGGCTTAACACGCCATACGTTTAAAGCACATTTCCCCTCCCACTAAGAATCATGGGAACTGTAGTTTACTGTTCAGAGCTTTAATTCCAAGCACACTCAACAAACTACAGTTCCCAATATTCTTTGGGAGAGGAAATGTGCTTTAAATGTATGGTATGAATGCAGCCATGGCCCCATTGAAAGTAACAGAAGTTCACACTCCTGTTTACCCTGAATCTAGCACCCCCTCACTGTGCTCCTACATGAGATAAGCCACAATCCAAATCTATCTTTTATCTAGCCTGTTGTTTGTTATGTGTTTTGACGTATTTCCCCCCCAAACCAGCTTTGATCTGAATTAGGGAGAGCGGGGGCCAGAGAGATAGCTCTGAACTTGGAGATGGAGAATGGGCTTTGGATTCCCCCTCCCCACCACTCCAAGGCCCCTGCTCTGACACTGCAACATTGGTGGGGCAGAATAAGGGGGAAGGCCAGAGGAAGGTTTGGATCCATCGTCTTCTCAGTCTTCCAGCATGACTCCAAACCCGGTATTGACACCAGCCCAGGGGCTAGTGCAGTTTCTTCCAATGTATTATTATTTAAAATAATTTATTTGGTTTTTTTAATGGGAAGGTTGAAGAAGCACAATAATGCTGTTCCACCCACACACCTGTCCTACGGGTGACAGCCCTGCTGGGGTTGGACGAAGCAGTTCCCTCCTTCCAGATTTAGGTCTGCAGGCTAAGAAACGATGCTCAGGCTGGCCCATCCACAACACCTCTTTAGTCTGGCTTTTGACACTTGAGAGGTATATTTTAGGACCCCCCTTATTTCTATGACAGTAAGTTGTTTTAAACTGTTTTTAATGTTGTCCTTTAATTAATGTAACCCACACTAGGACTCTAGGGTGAAAGACGGGTAAATTGTAATAATAATCATTAGGCGTTAAAAGTAACCAAAAAGACACCCAGAAAAGGTTGTTCGCTATATACATAAAGCTAGAATGCTTGGGTAAGAGTCAGTGACTTCCTTTCATGTGGCTAAGAGGTAATATTGCGCTTTTTGCAATCCAGCTGTGTATAAATTTTAGGAAACAAATGAACAGTAGTAATGCAAGTTGGCTTCTGAATGATGCAGCCGGGATTATTTCCTATAGCCATCTTCAAGAGTAGGGGCTGGGGAATCCTAGCCCTGGGGCCAAATGCCTCTCTCTCTCTGACTCCCAGAATTCTCTCCAGGCCACACCTCCTCTGCACACCCTCTCCCTAAACCACACCAGCCCTGCTTTTATCCCTCATTGTAGGTCCTTGAATTCTGATATTGCCTGGATGGAGGACAGAGGAGTGTGAGAGTGCTGTACAAAGGCAACATTTACATTCATTGGCCCACCCACTGGGTCTCCAGAAGGCTGCCCAGAAAGGAGGCAGCCCCAAAAGGGGCTCTTTTCAAGAGCTTCCACTACCATGATGCTTAGTGGTTTGCCTCTTCCAGTGATTCTGTTGCTGCTGCTGCTGCTGTTACTACTACTACAGCTAATAACGAAGATAATTATACTTGTCTAAGGCTTTTCATCTTTATGGCACTTAGCTACCAATTTTGCTTCAGAACGTTCATGTTGTGCTTCTGAATGTAAATGTCCATTAGTCATAGGCGATGAAAGGCCGCTTCAGCACGGCTGTTTAAGTGTAAAATGTGATTCGTGCCACACACACAACCTCACTCCCAGGTAGTCCACGTTAATCCAGGATAAACACCGCCCTTAGCATTGTACACAAAATGGTGGGTGTGACTTGGAATCCTCACTTTAGGTATAATGCAACAAAACAGTGATAGAAACCCACTCTTGAGCTACACTGCTTACGGATACAAGAGGGCACAGTGAGGTAATTTTAGGGCTTATCCACACTGTTCGCCCCACTGCTTTCCCCTGGGAAAACCTGCAATTTAGCACTGAATTGGAGCAAACGGCAGTCAAGTTTCCCATGGATTGTCTTTGTTCTGAGCGGTTTTCCGGGGAGAAGAAGTGGGGCAAAGGCAAAACTGCTTGGATCTGTGCTTTCTAAGCGCAGGACAAGCGGAAGTGTGGATGAACCCTTAAACTCTGGACATAATGGTTTGAGGGAGCCCCTTCCCAGTGACGGCTGGCACCTATTGGAACTGGTAAGGCAGTAGGTGGAGCCACAGCTAATGACAGGCAGATCCAGCTAAGGCCGATTACACATTACTCTGGCTCCAGTGCACTCCCATGGTGGCATTTGAAGCGTTTCTCCTCAAACTAGCTTCCATCCAATTAAAAAGCGGAGGTGTACGCATTTCAGGCATCAGATGACAACTTCATTCAATAGAAAGGCGTAGGGAAACAAATCGGGTAATGTGTGTACAGCTCAGTAAAACGCGACTTGAAATGCAGCAGGAGGAAACGACCTCACTGAGCTTTAAGCCACTAACATGTCCATGCCCTAAATCTAGTTTTGTTCCCATCCTCATCTTTGCTGAGTTGTACAGAGGGCACCACTGAGGCTGCACACACACCATACAGTTTGCTCTGTCTCAGCTTCTGCCAACCTAGCAGTTCAGAAGCACACCAGTGCAAGTAGATAAATAGGTACCACTGCGGCAGGAAGGTAAACAGCGTTTCTGTGCGCTCTGGCTTCTGTCATGGTGTCCCATTGCACCAGAGGCGGTTTAGTCATGTTGGCCACATGACCCAGAAAGCTGTCTGTGGACAAACACCGGCTCCCTCGGCCTGAAAAGCAAGATGAGTGCTGCAGCCCCCAAGTCGCCTTTGACTGGACTTAGCCGTCCAGGGGCTTTTTACCAATTAATTAATTTTTATTTTTTTTTACAGTTAAAGCACATTTAAAATACAGTATGATTGCATCTTAGTTGCACAATTTCAACAAAACTTGGTTGAAGGCAGGCTGGTTGAAATTGTATAAGCTAAATCCAAGGCAAGGTAGAGATCTTAAAAGCTTTTTTTGCACCTGGTTTGCTTGGGGTTACCTGGCAAGAGGTTTTAAGCTCTCTACCTTGCTTGAGGGCAAGGTCTGCTCAGAGCACCGGCTCTGGGATGCAAACCATAGTGCACTGTAACACAACAACCAGTAAACTGGGGTTTGTGCTTGCCCTCCAGAATGACTGGCTTGATCCTGGTTTGCAGTTTGGGGTTGCATGGCAAGTGATAATCACAGTTTGGTGATGTGGATGGAACAACAAAGTATAGCTGGTGCTGAAAGGTAAATAATTTAATCTGAGCACACAATCAAAGAAGAGAGCAGGAGGTGGCATTAGAGGGCATGAGCCCATGGTAGGTTCTCAGTTATCTAAGTCATGACTTTGAAGGGCCAAAACATTAAATCTAAACTTCAACCATAGCACGTTTAGGCTTTATATTTTAGCAAGTACTTCTAATCTTTAAAATGCCCACTTTTTCATACAGAAGATGTGGGGGTTTTTCCTTCAGAATTCCATTGGTGAAATTTTAATTACGCAGAATAATTATTTATTCAAATTCACTTTGTGACCCTCCCCCATAGAACAACTCCCATTAGTTAATCACATACAAGTTGCTTGTTTGTTTAGACTTCTGATCACCTATTTATTTTGGATATCATCCACCAACAAACCACACCAAATAGAGTGCTTTTTTCTTCCTGTTTTCCTTCTCTCACTCTTACATGCTAGCGTGTTGGCATATTTCACAGTGGCAAACCTACATTTTGGGGAGCCCTGAAACTTGAACTGTCCTGGGGGGGGGGAGGGCTTCACAACCAGCAATGAGGTCTGGGTAATCACTGTTACCTGCTTCAGTAGGGTTGTTCCACAACAGACCACCACATTAAAAGAACAAAACTATTACATCTAAGATTTTGACTAAAATTGGTGCTCTGGATTATCTCACATGTCAAAGTCATTGATGTGAATAAGATTTTTTAAGCGACTAAAGTCACTTCTGGGGCCCCTCTGGGATTGGGGACCCTGAAGCTTAAGCTTAATTAGTTTCATAGTAGATCTGCCCCAATATTTGACACACATGCACATGGAATCCGTCTCACAGTAACTGATGTTATGTCCTCCTATTTTCCCGAGGCACCGCAGCAGAAGCAAAATATATCATGTTTCTAAATTAGAATTATCTATAATGAAATAATGGCTAAACATATGTTAATGATAAAATGTTCACTGATTCCAAAGGGACTTTGGGTTGGTTGTTAACTGACTTATTACTTAAATAAGTGTCTGTAAGGATGACATCATTACTATTATTATGACATTCATTGAAATCACAGCCTGACGAAATATAATGGAATCTCTGTTCTCATTTTCCAGCCTCCAAACACCTTGGATGAAAATGCCCCGATGTGAGTGGGATTGAATGTGTTTCAATGCCATTCTAATCAATGGAACAAGTATATAACAATGAATTTAAGTTCCATTGAAATCATGATATTTGTGACTTTAGCCCCATGGATTTCAATGAGGCTCAAGCTCAACTAACTTTCTCTGGATCGGAGTCAGTATGTTCACTTGTATTTAGGGAAAAATGCCCTACTAATTATTTATCATATATGAATACCCACATATAGATATATTGAAACCAGCTCTTTCACTTGGTTTTATTGTTCCCTTTGGCTGACAGAACAAAGATCACAGAAAGTGAGGAATATTTCAGATTTCAAAAAACAAGGTCAGTTATTATTTCCCTCTCTGCTCTCTCACACACAGTTGTTAATAGCATAAATAAGAAAACATTGGGAACAAAAAGGAAATATTAGGAAGAATACAGATTTTTTTCTCCCTATGGCCCAAAACTGACCAGAACAAGTAATGAAGATACCTTTTTCATCCCTTTGCTGGGGACTAGTTTTGTCCTTTGAAAAATAATGTAGCTCTTTAATAATAATAGTTAAAAGGCAGGCTTGAAGAAGGTGTCCATTTCTGAAGATGTTTTCTTAACTGCAGACTTCTTCAAATTCGCTATAGGGCGATGAAGCTAATGAAGTTTTCGATTCTCCATCACTGTTGCATTCCCTTCTTAAGCTAAGATCAGAAGCACCAGCGGCCTCCGCAGCTGGGACTGCTATTTTAGGAATTGTCCCTAAAGGCTGATGGTCCAGCAAGTTCTGGAGGTGTTTGATATAAGTGATGGCAGCTCTCAAAGTCTCCACCTTGCTGAGACGCTTGTCAGCAAACTCCTTGGGCAGGTGGTCTCGGAGGCGCGTGTAGCCCTCATTCACACAACGAACCCGTTGCCTCTCCCTCTCGTTCCTCTTTCGAATGAAGGCAGGCTCAAAAGAGTAGTCATAGACTCCTACGTACCCAGAAAAGGGCAAGTAAGAGAACCTTCCTGAATATCCACCGTAGGCTTGGTGGTCCCAGTATGCCGGGTCAAAATGGAAAGGAACACCAAATGGTTCTCGGAGTGGTAACCCATGAGGGTTGGGGTGGCCGTTTCCGAGGGATGCTGGCCCTGAGAATGAGATCCTGTTCAGTAGCCCCTCGTCGCTATTACTTCCCATTTTGAAGTGATGCTGTGCCAACGTCCAACACGGGCTCTACAGAGTTAATCCATTGATGAGAAGGCCAAATGGACCAGATATATCTTTGTTGTGGTCAGAGCAGTAGTATACGCCCAAGGTTTCTTTTGTAGCAGCAGTAATGATTCCAGAAAGCCGCTGTTGTGTCTGGATATCAGCTCTGCTCCTGGATCTGTTATTATAGAGGTAGGATGGCTTCTAATTTATAAGCAGGCTTCTAGGACCATCACTCCACACGTTAAACCCAGGTTTTCCTCTGATCTTCATATTTCAAAAGATAATGAGAGGGTTCCTGTGTTCCTTTTCTCCTAGCTTGGATGTGTGACTATAGAGGCAAAGCCAAACATAAATAATCTTCCAGGCTGTAAACACTCCTCATGTATTGTAATCCATAGTGCCCTTTGATATTACCCGTCTCCAAAAGGATGGGTAACTTGAAAAGTTTACAGGCAGCTGCCAAGTGTTGCCAGAGCTCCTCCTTCTCAAGAAGCAAGGATCTCCTGTCTGCTGAAAAATTAGCCAAGGGCTTTCGATACCAAAAATCCTAAGGGGTAAGGTCAGCCTTTCTGGCTTCCGCTGTTCTAACGAAACTGAAGAAGCTTATAGAAAAGTTTGCAAACTTATACCATTATCTGACTACTTTGGGGGGAAGAGTGGGGGGTAGTAGGATTGGGAGATATAGAAAATCAAGGGAAAGAGTGCTCCCTTGTGGTTGAAAGCTGTCAGGTGAAGCATGTGCTTTGCAAACACCAGAGGGGCTGTGAACACAATCTGGTTTACTCTACATCCAGTGCATTATTACCACTGGTTTGCGAAGCTGTGAACACACAGTGTTAACCATAATCCACATCTTTGCTGCAATTTCTTGTGAAATGCTGCATTTTGATGCATTTCCCCCCAAACCGGCTTCAATCCAATTTGAAAACACAAGCCATATGAAGACATCCACGCCGCCTCTCCACCCCCTGGTGTGGACAGACAGGTGAGTTGAGAACACATCCCTCTGGATGGACGTGTACAGCACATCATGCAAAAGTTTGAAACACAGCAGAGGGAAATTACCTTGCTGCATTTTAAGGCGATAATGTGTACAAAGTCAGGGATAGTTTTGTATTCTGGTGTGTTTGTGCAACAGCTACAAAGGAAATATGGAAGCACAGTGGGCGGTTATGGAGTTATGGGAGGTCCAGGAGGAGGACATGAGCACAAAAGCACTCTCTCACTCGTGATCCCCAGTTTATTTAAAGGTATACAGCTCTGATACTGTAGAGAGTATACCCATACGCAGTCTAGTAGTAGCTGCTGGTTAATAGTGCAAATAACTTAAGCTGGAGTGGGACCATGTTCTCCAAACCCTTCAGCCAGAAGTCAATTGCCAGAATTACATTTCATTATTGTAGTGTAAACTCTCTCTCTCTTTCTCTAGATATTAGACACCCTACTTCAGTGTAGACTGTACACTCACCTGCTACTCCTGAGCTGAATTTTAGCCCACGATCATTTTCCATTAAAAAAAAGGTTTATAAATGTTTGCAAGAAAATTAATGTAAGCATAAAGGTGTCATCTTGTGAGATTAGAGAAAATGATATGGTATTCTTTTTGCAAGCGGTACAAAGAAAATAGTCTTGAAAAGGTTTGCGGAGCGCTCTATCACCCCCAAGAAATGAAAGTAATTACTTTGGAGTGTAAAATGCCCCATTGGGCATGTCATCTCTTGCTTATGAAGGGGGGTGGGGGAGAGCAAGAACTGACTGTTCAGGCTGTACTATACAAAAAGAAAACCCACAAGCAATTTCATTGTGCCAGATATTAATCTGAACAAGGCTAGTCCCGTTTCAGAATAGGCAATACTTACCAAGGACTAACTTCTCTCTGAAGTTAGCAGGCACATTTCTGAGCAAATATGCATGCATTGCATCTTGGCCCCCACATTCTTCTGTGTTCCTAATACCCTAGTTTCTTTTTTGGATGAAATCCTAGCTGTGCTTAACAAAATATGATGAGAGAGGGAGGGCGAGGAACTTCCCTTGCTTGATTTTAGTAGAGCTGGGTTTCACCATTCAACCCCTTTCATATATATATATGGGACACGGGTGGCGCTGTGGGTAAAAGCCTCAGCGCCTAGGGCTTGCCGATCGAAAGGTCGGCGGTTCGAATCCCCGCGGCGGGGTGCGCTCCCGTCGTTCGGTCCCAGCGCCTGCCAACCTAGCAGTTCGAAAGCACCTTCGGGTGCAAGTAGATAAATAGGGACCGCTTACCAGTGGGAAGGTAAACGGCATTCCGTGTGCTGCGCTGGCTCGCCAGATGCAGCTTGTCACGCTGGCCACGTGACCCGGAAGTGTCTGCGGACAGCGCTGGCTCCTGGCCTATAGAGTGAGATGAGCGCACAACCCCAGAGTCTGGCAAGACTGGCCTGTACGGGCAGGGGTACCTTTACCTATATATATATATATATGTGTGTGTGTGTGTGTGTGTGTGTGTGTGTGTGTGTGTGTGATGTCATGGCTCAGTAGCGGCAGAGCACATGATTTGCATGCAGAGGGTCCCAGTTCAGTCCCCAGCATCTCCAGGTAGCGATGGGAAAGATTCCTGCCTGAATCCCCAGACACAGAGATGTTGCCATCCAGTGCAGACATCTCAGTACTGAGCCAGCATAAGGCTGCTGCCTCTGTTCCTAATCCTAGTAAATTCTTAGCAGCGGAATCCTTTCACACAGCAATATAAATCATAATTAACTTCATCAAGCCACACCTGGAAAGAAGAGTAAATGGTTATTTAGTTGTTAACCAAAGTGGTTAAAGATAGGAAAGCTGCATTATACTGCAACAAACCGTTGAGGGAAGTAACATTTGATTCCTACTGTGCCTGAGCATTATTTAGCTGAGCAAATTCACATTCCATACCAGGTAATTATGAGCTTTGGCAACAAAAATTCATTAACAGGGAAGGATCAAAGTATGTTGTTGGGTGCTCCCAAGTGTAAATTTTTGGATTTCCCTCCCTACTTTGATTGTAAATCATGCATTTATTTTGTTGTTATATTTCTCTTTTGCGTTGTTGTTTTTTTAAAAACCTTAATCAGGCTTTACGCACACAAAAATACACATGTTCAGGCCAACTTTCTGGAAGTTTTGAATTATACTGTACTGAATAGATTGTTTTCCTCATGGGACAATCCAGGCTGCCCCTTTATTGATATTATGGCACACTTTGAGAATAGGGGAAATTAACATGCCAACACCAGGCATCCCAGCTGCCAGCTTCCGATCATGGCATGGAAACCCCATGTGATGGTAGAGATCTGCACAGTAAACCAGGGTACATATTGCAGGTGCCACATGGCAGAGCAGTCAGTGGAGCATGCAAATACTGCTTCAAATGGCTACTGCAAGGCATAGACCAGAGCTAGCTTGGGTCATTTACAGCACAGTGCTAACCCTGTTTACTCAGAATATTGAATTCAATGTGGCTCGCTTCCAGGTAAATGGGGTGAGGATTGCAGCCATAGAGACTTCTGATTTAGAAAACAGACTCCCCAACCTCATTTGAGAAAGGGGTTGATGTATTCCTCAAGGCAAATGCAGAGAGCATGAGATGCTCCCGCGTTAATTAAAGAATTGTCAATTTGTTGTTTATTGGGCTTGTTTATATACTTCTGTAATTTTTTTGTGTGTGTATATATATAATTACTTTCTTCCCCACTCTGGGACTGAAAATATTAAATGAAAAGCAGGCTATCAACGCTCCAGATTCAACCATCCCTATTCATATTATGACTTTGTTTGCTGTATAGTGTTTTAACTCTGTATTCATTTGAGGAAAACTTTGTCATATCTATGAAGAAACCAATGGAGGTGACTGAGAACAGGACCATCTCTAGAATGTGTAGGTGCATGAACATTTTCAGTGCATGATGATGCACTATAGGAAACTAATAGGTTGGCACCAAATAATCTGTTGAGTTCTGAAAATGTTTTGCCTTTTTCCTGTTTCCTGTTATAAGAGCAAAAGGTAGAGGTACAGACAGCTGAATGCCTACAAGTTTCTTCCTGCACTGACATTCTCCTCTGGCACTTCCTTTCAATGCTGCAGTGGCTGCAAATTTATCAGATTACAAAAGCACACGCCACCACATTTTGCGGGATTTGCTGTTACGGTCTGGGAGAAATTTGTGGATTGATTTAAGCAGCATTTGCAACTTGCATGCATGTGTCGTCAACTGGTAGTATAGTAGGTGATTGTGTGGGTAGCTTACAGTTCATACAACCACCATGACGGCGGATTGCAAGAAATAACATGACATAGTTTTCTAAGGATAGTCTGTGAATAACAATTTAGTCACTATCTTTTGAGTTGGTGTTTTAAATTTTGGCAGCTTTCTGGCTCTAAAGAACGGAGCTGGGGAAATACGATACTGAAACAGAATCTATGATGCTCCGCCAATGACATCTTTGTTTGAAATGTGCAGAAACCTAGAACAGCCTCTGTGAACTGAAGGAAATATTTCTTTTCTTCTTAGTACTGAGTGACAATGGATGACAAAAATCACCAGAAACAAAAAGTAGCCTTTTAAGGTCAAGACACACATTTGATGTTAACGTAGCCCTGAGCATAAAGCTTTAAAAATTATTTTGCATTGCTTGTTCCAGCAGACTCCATCCAAGCTACCTTGGGCCTGGGAATTCCCTGCTCTGATCCAGCAGGTAAGCAACAGGAATCCGTCTCCATGCTTCCTGCAATAGACCACCAATGGCAGATTACCTCCTGGGGGAAATAACAGCTTGGAAGCGGGGAGTGATTTCAATGGAATCACAACAGGAGGGAAAGGGACTGTGTGATATAGCATTGAGTGTTGGTCTAGGAGTTGGGAAACCAGGGTTCAAACTCCCACTCAGCCATGAAGATCACGGGATGACCTTGGGCCAGTCCCTGCCTCTCAGCCTGACCTACCTCACAGGGTTGTTGTGAGGATAAAATGAGGAAGGGGAGAACCGTGTAAACCTTGAGCTCCTTGGAGAAAAAGGTTGGATATAAATGCAATAAGCAAACAAACCACTCTCCATGTGGTCCCATTCCTGGTTGGAAATCCTGGAGACTCTAATTTTTAATGTAAAAACAGGACATGTTAAATGCATGCACACTTTCAAAGATGATAAAAACTTTTATTTACCACTAGGTTGCTGTTTTATTATGTTCTCAAGGAAATTTTAGTACTGCCCACTCACAGCGTGTTACTACTGATGTTTTACTGCTGTCATTCTGTTTCTTACTGAGGTATTCTATTTTTTGTTCATTATAGTGCTTCTTCTTTTTATTATAAGTTCATTGGTTTCTGTTTTACTGGCAAGAAATAATTAAGATGCATTCAAGTCGCTTGAGCACTCCTTCTGGATGAAAAGCTGGGGCAGAAATCAGACAAAGAAATATGCCTCTTCAGTCTCTTAAGATGCGACATTAATGTTCCCCACTCC